AACATTGTCCATCTAATGATAATAAATGTATCTAAAAATATTCGAAAGGAAAAAAAACATTCTTAGGCCTAGATCTAAGTATTTTATCAAAATGGACGGCCTATGTTAATTGAGCTAAAAAAATACTTTTTAGGTTGTGTTTTCAACTTTTTTTGTTGTTGTTGTGGCTGTTCATTAGAATGAAAAGAGTATATATTTTAAAATTTAGAACAAATAAATGGCCTTAACATAGTTTTTAAAGATTGTTGCATTGTATTACAATACACCTGTTGCATGAAATAATTGCCCTACTAAAAGTACTAGGGATAAGATGCATAAAAAGTTGATTTTAGGATTTAGAAATTATAAATTTATCTTTTTTGAGATTGTAATATGACTTCGGATTTAGAAAATTTAAATTTTATCTTTTTTGATATTCAAAGCCAAGTCTAACATTTTATCTATTTATAAAATCACTCCTAAAATATCAATTATTCTAACTCACGATTATATCTATTTTGATAGTCTTTTGTAATATTGTCATATTCTGTGCTGTTTAAAATTTGATCAAAAGAATGATAGATTGCTTAAAATTAAAATAAAACATAAAGGGTTGAGATGAGCCACTCTAAACTATCACACATCTTGAATTTTCTAGCAAAATCTCACTTCCTTAGGCCAAAACCAATCCCATCTCTGGTTAAAACCTGCATTGGGATTTGGATAATATCGATCTAGATCGCCAATTCGGCTAGGCTCCATGGATAAAAATCAGGAAAAATAACCAAATAATGGCGTAGGGTTGTTCGGGAGGAGAGACGTGAATCATTCACCAACTAAATCTCATTCGGATCCTCAATCTCCGAATATCTTCTATATTTTAAGTGAGAAGAGGCCTTGCTTATTTTTATGACACGTGTGACCTCGTTTTTTTTTTTTGTCATTGGTAGTTACAAAATATCTCATTATCTACTTATTATTTTGACACTTGTTCTCTCTTGAAATTTGAAAAAGTACAACTCTTTAAAAATCTCTCATTTTTATTTCACATATCATTTCCTTCTCTCTTTATAATCGGTAGTTATGAGTATCTACTAATTATTTTGGTATATGTTCTCTTTCAAATTTTGAAAATGTGCTACAACTCTTTAAAAATCTTCCATTTTTCTCTCACGTAACTCTCAAATCTCTATTTTTAAATTTTTTTCCTTATTTTGCTCCTAAAATCTCTCGTTATCGTTTTCTTACAAGCATTTTTGAGTTCCAAATTTTTTTTAGGAACATTTTTGAGTTCCAAGTTTTTCTATTTCAATATTTGAAAAGATACAAATACGACTCCTAAAAACTCTCTTATTTCTATGTCACGCACCCGTCCCATCTCTTTATCAAATGTTTTTCTATATCTTGAATTCCAAATTTCTCTCTATTAAAATTTTAAAAATGTGCAACTCTTAAAAATTCTCCCATAGCTCATGTCATGCACCCCGCTTTCTATGTCTCGTGTCACTCCCGTTCTAAAACCACATCTACTACTACATTATTAACCGACGGTTTCCTAAGGTTGAGAAATGTTATCTACTTGACAAATCTCAAAGGGCACCGGATGTTAAGGAGTGTTGAAGGGGGCTTGTGAAGGATTGCATGAGAGAAGAAGATGGACATTACTCTTAGGAAAACTAAGAGTTGCTAGCAAGAAACAAGAGAGAACAAAGAGTTGATAGGAAAAAATAAGAGAGAAAAGCCAACTGTTTTTCAACGCACGAAATTTGGCAGGAGAGGCCTTTGAAGAAAACAAAGCATTACGAGACAGAAGAAGATAGACGTTGTCATAATATACGGAACAAGAGGGAGAGAAGCCAACCATTTCTTGAATGAAAAAAGAAAGCGACATATAGTTGAGAGACTATACCTTAACTATTGGCATAAAGAGAGAATACAAGACCCATGAGTAAAGAGACTTTGAGGAGAGCAAGAGAACAAATATCGTTGAGAACGAACCTCCAAATTTGCAAGACGTATTTTGTTTTTGTGATGAAATTTTTGGAACTCTCTCCATAGCTTTGTAAACTCAATATTTGTTTTTCGAGTTTCCTTGGGCTGGAAAATCCAGGTTCTTTAATAGTTATATTTCTATTTTTTGGCTTAAAAATGTGGTGATTATGGGTTTTTTATGAGTTGTATTGTGTATCAGTAATTTATATAAATATTTCTTAAAAAATGATAATACAAGAGCCGAAAGTAAAGAAACGTGAGAAGAGCCAAAGAGCAAAGAGGCTGAAAAAAATTGTTGGGTTTATATGGAATTTAAGGGCCTTGTAATACCTTTTATGAGCCTCATGTGGACATACTAAGCAAATATGATTTGCCTATACTCGTACGAGTCTCGACGTACTAAATCGGCCGAGTTGGAAAAACCCAATATACTTGGGCATATGTTCTTGTTGGGTTTATGTGGCATTTAAAGGCATTATAAGAGCTTTTATGAGCCTCATGTGGACCATACTAAGCAAATACGATTGACTTATACTTGTACTAGTCTCGATGTGCTAAGCCAGCCGAGTTGAAAAAATTCAAGATAACTGGGCATATGTTATTGTTGGGTTTATGTGGCATTTAAGGGCCTTATAAGAGCTTCTATGAGCCTCATGTGGGCCATACTAAGCAACTCGACGTGTTAGGCCAGCCGAGTTGGAGAAACCCAAAATACCTGGGCATATGTTTCTTTGAGGTGAGATGTGAGATTAATCCATATTTTTTTGTTTAACTCACATGTTTCCCATTAAAAATAGACATGGGAAATAGTAACTTTAGTGAGAGAGATAAATTATCATAAATAAAAAGATGTATATGTTTTATTGAGTTGGGGGCTTTTTTGTTGCGCATGGAATATAAAGACTTGAATGTGAGAGAGATGTGAATTTTCAATAAGTCGTGTTTTTTCTATTACAAAATTTATTTAAAAAGTATGAAAGAAAGAAAGAATTCAGATATACTATTTGTATGGAAAAATCAAGAGGGACATAGTGCAAATGAAAAATACAAACAAAAATTACGACATAGCAGTTATGAATAATTTTTAATAATTTAAAATTCATAATTAGAAAATAAAAGATATTCAAGTATATGACAAAATAAAGAATCAAATTTTATATATGTTGAATCACATTAAAAAAATATAGTATTGTCATTAAAAAGCTAATGTAATGTTAAAATAGTCATAAAAACTTTTAAAATATAAAAATTATAGTTAAAATAAGCAAATGTCAAAATTGAGATAGAAACAAAATTATGATTTTATTTTTTTTCTATTAACAACAACAACAATAATAATAATGGTAATAATAATCATAATAGTAACCATAATAATGATAATAATGAGAACAACAACAACAATAACAACAACAACAACAACAACAACAACAACAATAATGAAGATAATAATGATAATATTTTATTTTGTTTATATAAATAACAATAACAATAACAATAATAATAATAACAATAATAATCGTAATAATAATCGTAATAAAAAAAATAAAAATAAAAAATAAAATAATAATAATAATAATAGTGATAATAACAACAACAATAACAACTATAGTTATAGTTGTTGTTCTATTATTATTATTATTATTATTATTATTATTATTATTATTATTATTATTATAATTATTATTACTATTACTATTAATTATTTTATTGAATTATTTTATTATTATTTATTTTAATTGCATAAAGATTATTTATTAAGGTTACTCTTTCTTCTAGCTTTCCCTTACTATATTTTCAAATGGATTTTGTCTTCTCTCTATTGGGAAGTAATGTTTTTTTTTTTTTTAATCTTATTAGGCAAGGCCCATTGATCATGAACGCTAAAGAAAAATGGTTGTTTTTTTTCTTGATTCTTATATTAACTTATGTGTCAATTTATTTTCATATTAAGGTTTCCTTTTATATGTATTTTAATTATAATTTTTACATTTTAAATTTTTTATCACTATTTGAACATTAAATTGCTTTTGTAATTATAATACTATATTTTTAATAAAAAAATATGATTAATTCTTTTTTGGGAGATACTTGAGTAATTTTATTTTTTTTAATTATGATATTTGATTCCATCTCCTCTAGCTTTCTCCGACTATTTTTTATTTGCCTAAATAAATCTTGATTCCACCATTTAAAATAGAATTTAATTTTTTTTTATCTCCCTATAATCGTATTTTATCATAAATGATATATCTAAATTATTTATTTCTTGCATGGTTTAAAAAAAAATCATAATTATTTCATGAAGTTATTAAAAAATGTGAGGATAAATTCAATGATCTCTAAAACCATGTTTTATTGAAAATATTATTCAATAATAAATATGTTTTAGTGATTAATATTGAATATCACATGCTTTACATTAGTAGTTTGGTAATAAAATGAAGGAAAATATACTACAATTCTAAGACTACGGAAAATCGTTTGTCAATAGTCTAATCACGATTCAATTTATAAACAAAGGGTGATAGACGACCACGACCCAATATTTTTTATAGTCATATAGTTCAACTATACCTTCTCATGACTATCAATTCATTCAAAAAATCAGTCTACCCAAGTAATGGTCCGTATGAAATCACAGAAACTGAGTTGTAGAATCCAAGCGCCATCCATGGTCCCACAAAAGGAACTAAGAAACCATCCAGAGCAAAAACCAGATATACGAATCACTCTGAAATAGACGATAGGTCACCTTGCTGAGGTATTGGGGTTGCTTGGGTCGATAAATTAGGGTTTGAGGTATCGGATTTCTTTCAGAGGAGATAAATTAGGGTTTGGTTCTCCATTTTCAGAAGACTCTAGAAACAACGGCGTCCTCGAGCTGGGCTGTTCCTTTTTGGAGAGCAGCAGGTATGACATGTTAGATACTCTAACATTTGTGCTTCTCTGGTTCGTAAGTGCCTGAAGGAGCCGTACAGACGTGATTCCCTCTCTCGAGAAAAGGTCCATTTCTCTGTGTCAAAGTGGGTTGATGGCAAACCTGAGAAGCCAGGTGATTGATCTTTACCTCTACTTCTGTGCGAGTGTTTTATTTTGGCAAAAAATTTAGGTTTTATTTCCTGATATTTATTGATTCTTTTATCTAAAATTTCTAGATTTCTGTTTCTGGATTTTGTCTTAGTAGCTTAGGATTCTGATTCTGATTTTGATTTTCTTTTGCTGGCTTGTAGTGGGATTGTTGATGAAGATTGGTGTATTTTTTGTATCTTTAATCAATTGCATGAAGCTAAACAAGTAAAAATGCTTGATGACACGAGGAAATGGGCCATCGTAGGTTTTATCTTGCTTAGGTTGCAGAATAGAATTTGTTATTTAAATGTGAATCTCATTTTATTAGCTTTCGTGGTCATGATTTCATTCTTTTATGCATTTGTGCCAGTAAATGAGAGTCTCATTGTCGCTTTAATATCCCTAGATTGAAATAGATTATTGGAGATATGCATTTCTTCTAACTTTAGTTTTATGCTGCATTTGTGACTGCCTACCATGCTTAAGTTGAGTGGGTGGATTAGGGGAAAAGCTTTGTTTTTTTTACTTTTCTGGGACGGTTTACTTTCAACAATAAAACAGTACAGTTTTTGTGGAACTCTGTGCGTCATCAGACAGTATGTACAAATGCAAGCAATCTAGGATCTAATCATGTATATTCTATATCACTCTCCAATGTGATATAGAATACCAATGAAACTGAAAGGGAAGTTTTATAGGATGGCTGCCAGCCATGGTTTATGGGACGGAATATTGGTTAGTTAATAAACATCATATCCATAGAATGAGTGTAGCTGAGATGATGATGTTGAGATGGATGAATGGCAAGGCAATAAAGGATAAAATTCAGAATAAATACATCCGAGGGAAGTTAGGGGTGGCTCCAATAGGTGATATGATGAGAGAAAGTAGACTGATGTAAGCTGGTCATGTTCAGCCTCGACCTAGAACAACACCAATTAGGAGAACAACACCATTTAAGAAGCGTAATTTGGTTCAAGTGGAACGCTCTAAACGGACAAGACCCAAAAGGATATGGATAGAAGTAGTGAGAAGAGATATTGTTATTTATAGTCTAACTGAGAGTATGGTCCTTGATAGAGCTTGGATGGTGGAACACGATTTGTGTATAGTCAACCCCAAATAGTTGGGATAAGACTTGAATGATGATGATGACTCACCAATGTGAAATAAACTGGAGTGGATTTATAAGGGCTGATTTTATGGCAAAACAACAGTGACATTGATGTAGGACCCCAAGAGGCTTAGTTCCTTCATGAGTGTGAGATAGAGTTGGTTGTTAGAGAGAAAGGGTTTGGGTATGATTAGGAAGTCTAGTTAGGTAAGGGTTTTAGATTTCTAAAAGATTAGCACAGTAGGTTTTGGGCCTTATGAAAGTTTCCTAATTGGGGATGAAATTGGATAATATGAGATCCGAATGAAGGACCACCAGAGCTAGGGTTGTTGCTAATGGTTGGGTTGTGTAAGAGCAAGGTTTAGGTTAGGTTTCAAGGTTTTTGTAGGGGTTATGCTTGCTGGAATTTGGCGGATCTAGCAAGGTAGGATGATAATGAGGACGATTATAGGGTTAAATGAGCGCAAATATAGGGTTTAAATAAGTTTGAAGGACAAGGACGATAGGTATAGATTTTGAGCTAGTTTACCAAGGGTTTGGCAAAGTTTGGCTATGGTCTATTGAAGGGTTGGAACAGTTATGGAATTTGTTATGGGGAATCTTAAATGGGAATATGCAACAAATGAAGGGCTGGAACCTTGAAGAAGCTCTTAACTTCTTGTGGAGACTACCAATCTTAAGATAGAGTTGAAGGATTACTCTCTCTACAGAAAGAGTTGAGGAATCCCTCCCTCTAAATGCCGCTTATCATTATAATTGGAAACTTCAATATTTTTCTCAAAAATTGATTTTTTTTGGCCAATGGCCCTTGCATCTATTTATAGTGCTTCCCAAATCCTAATCTACACCCTTAAATAATCATAGATGTTCCTAATTAAGTAGAAGATAATTCTAATGGTTGTAATCTGCACATGAAAGAACATTTGTTCCTAGAGATGCTATTTATATATTCATTACAACTAGGAAATCATTAGAGATTAGATAACCTAACATACTATGGAAACAAAATTCACTAACTTTACCAGCAGGCTTTGAACACAACTTGAGGCCCCAAAACTTCTGATTATGATAACCTGTAGAGATAAAGGTTGTTCTGAAGAGATATTTGAGCTTTGGATCACCTCAAATGGGCATCCCAGTGGAAAGTTATACCTCAAAAAGAGGCTGTCATCATATATAAGTTCCATTTGTTTAGGTGGCACAAAATTTTGGCCGAAAGAGATGAAGGAATTAGAAGTGGAACTCATTAGTTTGATTAATAGGAAATTAGTGGATAAGTGGTATTGGGGCTTTGCTAGTAGGCACCTCTTCAAAAGTGTTTCCCTTGACTTTCTCACTTTGCCAATGATCTTGGGGTTTTAGTTGGGGGTTGTTATGAAAGACAATGGATGCAAATTGAGAGGAGTCCTTAGTTCTAGGTTGGACAATTGGGTTGGGTCGACCCCCTGACCTGGCAGGTAGACACATATATATATGGTCGACATATCTATGTGTCTGTGTGCGTGTGTGCGCACGTGCTGTGTGTGACACACGCGCACATACACATAGTTTTTTATACTTTCCGTGGCCATTGATTTGGAAGGGTCCTGGTCAGACCTGACCCCACCTATTTACACCCCCACTTAGTTTTTGATTCATGAAGGTTGGAGAAATACACTTAGATTCTCTACAATAATAAAGAAAGAAATACGCTTCAAATTCTCAATCTTTGTGGTGTGTATTTGGTATAGCCTTATTGGTTGCTGAGGTCTTTGGCCGCTGATTTTGTGCGCCATTCCAGCTAAAATGTCATATGCTTTGGAGTTTATGCATAGTAGCAATTTCAGTGATATACAGAGAGAGAGGAGCTATGCAGTTTCTCCAATGCCTAGTTGACCTTTGACTTTGTAATTGGAAAGACTGTAACTGCAAGCTATTTCATTAAATATTCAACCTTGGACATAGCAATTGGAAGGAGAGGAAGAATGAGGTTTGTTTTAGACCTATTCGTCCTTCATGTTAGTAAGCCTTTATCTCTACAGTAGTGTTGTGGCTAGTATGTCACTAGGGTTGGTACGGATTCCTTCTTCAAATTGGGCTTTGATAGAGACTTTCTTCCTGTTGGGGTCATTCTCTCTAGTTTTGCTATTTTTTATCCTATTGATGTATGTTTATACCTTTCTTTGTTCACTTCACTAGGTGAAATCATTTAAATAAGTTTTGTTGGAATATGATTGTAAACCATTTGGTGCAACTTATGTATTTCTTATATAAATGAATTATCAATGATTCTTCCTAAATGAGATAAATGATCCTACATTGTGCCAGGGCGTATTTCTCCACACTATCCAAATTATCTGCTTATGTGGACAACCTCGTAAAATTTCACCCCATTTATTATGATGCTCGAAAAGGTCACGTCACTCAATTGGGTGTACACTATCCAAATTATCTGCTTATGTGGACAACCTCGTAAAATTTAAAATTTCCCCTATTTATTATGATGCTCGAAAAGGTCACCTATCACTCAATTGAGCATGATGAGGAAATCACCTTTGATTCCATGTATATCAACAAATACTTGGAGCAGTTTTAGGGATCAGTTATGAATTTGTAGAAAATTTTAAAATGTTAACATTCTTCTATTTTTTGAACGTTCACATTAGTTGAACCTTTACATTCTTCTAATGTTTGACCTGATCCACCACCATAAAAAAGAAGTTTCCTTTTAATTTATTAGTGAATAGTTATGCAGTTCATTATAGCCATTATACATCTGTATATATCTATGAACACATTAACAAATTGTTTCATTGTCTTTTATACGTGTATTTTGGATTGGAGTAGGGCGGGGCTTGCGGAAGGGGAATGAGGCTAAAGCTTTAACTGATTATCTTTGTTACTTGTTTGACTGGAAACTCTCCTGTTCATGACTGGCAATATAACATAGAAGGGTAAGTGTAGTATGCGTCAGGGGATGCATGTGGTCCCCTCACATTGAATGCAAGGGACGTGATCATTCCCTAAGTTCAACAAATTCACTTTAAAGTTTGGAATTTATTAAATTTTGTTTAAATTTAGGATCATTATAACTTAGATTATAGATCCCTAAATTTTGGGATTTAAAATCCATGTGTTGAATAGGGCGCACAACAACATATGAGTCCGCTGACTTATAAAAAGGTAAAAATGTAATCTCCAGGAGACTTGATAGAGAGCTTTTCACTTATTTTTCTAGTTTGGGACTTGACTTGAGGGGCTATATCATTTTGATTCAGGGGCTCAATCGTGGTGAGTGGACACATCACTTAGAGATATGATTTGGAATACTTAGAATAAGTTTGACCATTTTAAATGTTAAATACTGAACATTAGAAAAATTAAGGAGAGAAGTGTCTCCTGCCATATTCTTTATGAAACAGAAAAGTTACCTATTTGTTTGAAAGAAGTCTGTTTTGATGGTAGAGAAAATTTTAAACCATTCGTAGTGAGGTGGTCAAATGAACTTGTTAGGTAAATTTGCTCTGGGTGGAAGTACACCTTCCTAAGGCTGATTAAAATTGGAATATATGCAGGAATTTAAAATGCACGGTGAGATCTATAATTAACCATGGTAAGACTGAATACATTTCCTTATTGCTTTGTATTGACGTCGATTGCTTTTTGTTTTTGATGAATGTGGAAAAAATCAGTTGTATGACTTTTAATTTGGTTTTGTATTTGTAGTTGTTCGCGAGGACTCGCCTGCTGAGTGAGGAAAAAATCAGTTGGTTTTTGTATTTGTAGTTGTTCGCGAGGACTCGCCTGCTGAATGAGATTATTGATGTGGAAAGGGATCACTAAGGCTCTCGATGACTACTATCACTGTTTTGACTCCTGCTGAATGAGATTATTGATGTGAAAAGGGATCAATAAGGCTCTCGATGACTACTCTCACTGTTTTGACTTAAGGCTGTCGATGACTATTGTTACCGTTTGACTGGATGCGTTTGCGTCCACGTTTAAGGAATTAAAATTTAGTAATTATGGATGATGCATCTGGAGCACTATTTTAAATAAAGTTAAAACTCCTCGTCTGTCAGAATTGATGACAACCTCGATGAGCACGATTTTGAATAAAGTTAGAAACTCCTCGTCTGTCAGAATTGATGACAGCCGTGATGAGAACTTTGCTTATTATTTTCAAGAATGACTGCATAGCATTGTGCGCGTCGGTGCTTGTGTTTTGTCTATGTATTCTAGTGAGGGATAGAAGAGATCAATGGACATGAGAGAAAGAAAAAGAAGAGCCTCAGTGCTTCTGTCTGTCCGTGTGTTCCGTCTGTATTCTAGTGAGAGAGAGAAAAGATCAATGGACATGAGAGAGAAAGAGAAGAGATCCATGGAATGCTCATTTTTGCTTTTCTGGGTATTCTAGTGAGAGAGAAGAATGCTCATTTTCCTGTTAAGTGGAATGTTTGTGTCTTTTTCACTTTGGATTTTGATTGAATGTTCATTTCCTTTTCACTTCGGATTATGTTTTGGATTTTAATTTGTCTTGATAGGTGAAAACATGAACTCGGTCTAGTTAAGATCTTTAGGGGCGTTTGATAACCTGGAAATCAAATCTATTACATGAAAAAAGATTTCATCGTGAAAAATGTTTGGGTGAGAAATCTATTATCTGTTATAATCTGATCGATTGTTTGGGTGAGAAATCTATTATAGATAATAATCTAATCGAGAGTTATAATTGGATTGGAGGAATGTGGATTTTCGGCAGAGTTATAATCCAATTGGAGGAATGTCGATTTTCCGCAATCAAAAGATTTTTGCTACCCAAAAATCTAAATCAATTCACCGAATTCACCGAATCTCGTACGGTTATAGCTCAAGATATTTAAACCTATCTACTGCTCTAAAATTTAAATGTCAGTGATTTTGGTTACCCAAAAATTCTGTGATTCACCTAATCGTACAGTTATAGTTCAAGATATTTAAACCTATCTCCTGCTCTCAAATCTAAATCTTAGTAATTTTGGGTACCCAAAAATTTTGTGATTCACCGAATCGTACAGTTATAACTCAAGATATTTAAACTATATCTTTTTTTTTAACCGAAATTAGACGGTTATAGCTCAACATATTTAAACCTCAACAATCATATAGTTTTTTTTTTTTAAAACCGAATCTTATAACTCAAAATATGTAAACCTCAAAAATCATACAGTTTTTTTTTACAAACCGAATCATATAGTTGTTTTTTTTTTTTTAAACCGAATTTTATAACTCAAAATATGTAAACCTCAAAAATCATATAGTTTTTTTTTACAAACCGAATCAAACAGTTATAGCTCAAAATATTATAGCTGAAAGTATTAAACCTCAAAAATCACACACCCATCTCTATCTTTTTAAACCTAAAAAATCACCCATTTTTTTCAACTTTTTAAAAATCATCCGTCTTCTTCTAAAACGTGGTTCAGTTTTTTCAACTTTTTTAAAATCATCCATCTTCTTCTAAAACCTGGCGGGCAGCTCCATCTTCTGCCACTAAAACCTGTTAACCCATTTGATTTCAAGATATTTAAACTTCAAAAACCACAAAGGCCGTCTATCTTTTTAAAGCCTTTTTAAACCTGTTATAACCCATTTCATTTCAAGATATTTAAACTTCAAAAACCACATCAAGATATTTAAACTTCAAAAACCACACAGGCCGTCTATTTTTTTAAACTCTTTTTAAACCTAAAAAATCAGTAGCCGTCTATCTTTTTAAACCTAAAAAATCCCCCATTTTTTCAACTTTTTAAAAATCACGCATCTTCTTCTAAAACCTAGTTGGCAGCCGTCTATCATTTTGAACCTAAAAAATCATCTATTTTTTTCAACTTTTTAAAAATCACCCACATTTCAAGATATTTAAACCTCAAAAATCACTTCTACCAAAAATCAGTAGTGGTCTATCTTTTAAACCTAAAAAAACATTTTTTTCAACTTTTTAAAAAATCACCCATCGTCTTCTAAAACCTATCTGTCAGCCGTCAATCATTTTAAACCTAAAAAATCATACATTTTTTTCAACTTTTTAAAAATCACCCGTCTTTTTCTAAAACCTGGCTGGGAGCCCATCTATCATTTTAAACTTAAAAAATTACCCATTTTTTTCAACTTTTTAAAAATCACTTCTGGCAGCCCCTAACTAAAATTACCCATTTTTTTCAACTTTTTAAAAATCACTTCTGGCAGCCCCTAACTAAAACCTGTTAACCCATTTTTTGGCTTAACTTTTTAAAAATCACCTGTCAGCCCCAACTAAAGCCTGTTAACCCATTTCTTAATAATATGATATTTTCTCTGAACTGACCAAGGACTGTGCTAATGTAAGCTTGCTAACTGCACTCTCACAGGAAAGATTTACAAATTTAACGCAGCATTGAACCTGGAAATCGCCAATCATACTCAGCCTCAACCGGAGAGCCTAGTGCCGACACAAAAAAAATAGTCAAGGCCAGACCTGCCTCCACCGCTTCCTTTCAGGATCTGGAAGCTTCTCCTTCCCCTTGCTTGCTCTAACCACCAAAGTGAGAAGTATAGCATTCCCCCCCTTGTGGCTTTGATCCCCATTGGAGTCCTCTCAACTCCGTTCTTACGGCCCGCCGTCCGGAAGGCTATACCAAGCCGCAGAGGAAGAGGCCAACTAGGCCCAAGCAGCTGGTGGCTGTTCGCATCGGAAATGACTTGTGAGGCGGCCCCTCAACATTTCGCGATAATGAGGGAGGCAGTTGACTGTCGCAGGAGGCCACTGCTCAGGCCAAAAATTGGCCATGTTTCAGGGTGTGATGTGAGCAGCTATGCGTGATATCAGCGTGCCCAAGAAGAGGGGTGCTATGCCGCTGTAGGAGAGGCCTTCGAGAAATGGCGACTTCGACCCTTGGGAGGAGAAGTTTGAAAAGCTTGCTGGATCCTACGATATGAATAGAATGGAAATCCAGCCGTTCCTGACATATAACTTTTACACTCCAAAGGCATCTCCACCGTCAAACCTAGCTTTTCCTCTTCCATTCATATCTATGCGCTTTGCCAAGCAAGATTATAGAGCAAATCAGCGCTATTCATTCACCTCAGTCTCAATCTCAGTTCCAAATCTCTGTCCTCCTCGAAAAGTCATATACTCCCCTAATCTCCACGTGTCTATAGATATTTTCAGATATGTAGCTATTGTTTATTTTCAGATATGTAGCTATTGTTTATTTTCAGATATCCAAGATTCATTTTGTTTCCAGATATCCAAGATTCATTTTGTAGTTGCAACTATTGTTCCAAAAAAAATAAACGAATTTGAGTTCTCTGCTAAGATGAGTCTATTTATTTTTTGTCTTTATTTTTTCATTTTGGTGCTATTGTTTGCTCATAAATTTGAAATACTTGAGTTCACTAATATAGAATCAATACTTGAGTTCCCTCATAGAGAATCAATAATTGAATTCACTTACAGAGAATCGTCGAATCCGTGTATTTGAATTATTTTTTTAAACCTTTTTTAAATTAATTTACCTCTTCAATTTCATCCAATGCCCCAACATAATTTCTCCATCTCATTTAGTCATAAAGCCTTTTAGGTTACTAGCCAATTTTTTCAAAACTTTTTTTTTTCTTTTGAATTTGGCATGGACTCATTTAGTCATAAAGCGTTTTAGGTTACTAGCCAATTTTTTTTGAATTTGGCATAGAAGTTTTTTGGAGGGAGATGATCGCATGGCTTTAGTGAAAACATAAAAAATATGATGGCTTATCATAATAAAAGTATGTTATTCCAAAGTAAAACATGTGATTCCAAGTCAAGACGTAAAGGCATACAAAAGGTATGGCTAATTCATATGTGTGATGCAATTATAAAGTTTAAACTACATACGAATAGAGATTGTACCCTCAACCATGTTTTGGGTATAAAGCCAAAAAAGAAAAAGAAAATGTTGGTGACGCATTTCCCATATTTTTTCTGGACATAGTCAAACAGTAATTCTAGGTTACATCTAACTACTCCTCAAACAGTGACAAACAGTTACAATCCATTTGCAAGTAATGTATTACACCAGTAATATATTTAACAGACAATATATTTCCATATATCCAAACGCCCCCTCAACGATTTTGAGTCCGTCTTGTTCAGTTTGGTGATTCTCGAGTTCGAGGTATCTAAACCCTCAACGATTTTGAGTTCGTCTCGTTCAATTAGGTGATTCTCAAGTTGAAAAGGGGACTAATTAAAAAAAATAAAAAAAAGTGCAGTTTGCATCAGGTGACAACCTTATTTGTAGAAATAAGGTTGTAATATTCTGCACTCTCTATTTTTGTCGGATGGTGTTTGATTTGACATGTATTTGAAAATAGTGCCCGAAAGTAGTGGGCATTCTAAGATAGTATTTAATCTATGCTGTCCAAATGAAATTGATGGTATAGATTGCGGTAATTTCTACAAGTAAGGTTGTGTTTTTGGAAAGGAAAAAATAAAAAAAGCAAAAAGTTTATATAAGGTTGCAACCTTAAAATGTAGAATTATAGATGCACTTCAAAAATCCATCGGAAGATATTGTTTTAATGTTGAAAAAACCGCTAATTGATCATGTCGACATCAAGATGAATGCATATGAAAAAACAAAAAGATTTTGAGTCCCAAAAATAGTGTATCTTACAATACATTATCTAGATCGTATGTTTTCCAGATTTTCATATATTTATAGATCAACTTGATTTGAACAATTTTTTAGTTTAAAAATTTTATAATTAGATATAAAAATGGTATTTGAGATAATCCTAAAAAAATTTTCATCAAAATTATATGTTATGATAAAATTTGGAGGTATGCCTTAATTGGATTGTTTAATGTTGCAAATTTATAGAAACCACACCTTTTTAAAAATTAAAACTTAAAAATAAAGTTCAAGTGACTTGGGGTGTGTGCTATCCTCTTGACTCACCATCCCCCAATTTGAGCCAAGTTTGGGGTTTCTAGACCTTATTACTTTTTGTATTATATCCTAAATGCACAATACTATTTTTTTCTTGTATTTATCTCCAGTCAATTAGTAAATACATTTTAGGACCA